TTTTCCAGCCTTTTCACAGATTTTGAAGAGCGGAGCTTTGACTTTTCACTCTGGATGCGTGTGCGGCAGGTGCCAAATAGGATTCCTGTTGAGGGGCTGAGTGTCTGCGAAGCATGTGGATGCAGAGTAGACCAGATGCCTGTCTTCCCTAAAGGAGGCAGAATGGAGCTGTTATGCTTAATGATTTTGTGTGTGTGTGTGTGTGTGTGTGTGTGTGTATCTGTGTTGGGGTGGCCATCACTGAACATCTGACCTGGACCTGGGCAGAGGGGTGGAAGTGACAAAGGCGGCCTGACCAACAGCATCTGCCGAGTCTGGCCAACTGTGGGAGAAGAGCATGAGGACATGGGCCCAGAAAGTCCCTGGACCCTCAGGCAGGTGGACAGGGGCCGGCGGCGGGCTAGAGGCTGACTCTGGATGCAGACTCAAGGTGCCGCACGGGCATAAGGGCTGAGGGAGGGCTTTTGCAAAGCAGACGTTTGGAGCCGCCACCTGCTCGCCTCTTCAAGAGAGCATCCTTGAAGCCCCCTGGAAAAGTGGTTTGCCCTGGTTTTCACGCTGTGCTCCCTCAGTCCCACACTCTTATCCAGTTTGGCTGGTTTCAACACTGAAAGTCCTTCATCCCAGGAAAGCCTTCAGTCCTCAGCAAACTGGGATCTTTGGCGACCTCGCCATCACAGGTCTTTGGTTTCTGGATTCCCTTGGTCAGAGGGACGGCTTCCAGCACTGGCTGGGTGGATCTCTGGCCATCACTGTAGCGGCGGGTGTCCTGCTTGCCAGGCGGTCCCTGCTCCTCACCATCCTGAAAAACAGTGTCTTTCCAAGGCCGCTCCCCTCTCCTCCCCTGGACCACCATCCTCTGAGAACAGGGCAGAAATCCGCAGAGACAACTTGTGTGAGCTGGAGGCTGTTCTCAGTTGTAAGGTGAGAAATGCATTTTTTAAAAAAACAGATAAATTTTAAAACTGAATCGCTGGGAGCAGGGCCTTCATGCGTCATCCTCCTCGAGAGAAATGAGAGCTGCATGTGCAATTCACTCTCAACAGGATGGCATCTTGCTCCTTCAGTTGGGGAGGCTCTTAAATCTTTGCTGGGGTCGGGGGTGGGCAGGGGTCCATCTCCTTCACCACGAGGCTAGCCTTTTGTCTGGGGGAAGCAGGCTTCTTCATTTCTGAACGCTGATGGCAAGAGGCCCCGAGGGTCTCCACTCAGAGAGGGGTTTGCTGGGGGAGCTGCCAGGAAGGTTCCTCTGCAGGTCCCCTCCCACAGCACCCTGGGGGAGAAGACGGCAGAACGGCTGAGCTGTTTTCTCAGAGAGCTGCCCCTCCAAGGAAGAAGGGGAGAGAAAGAGAAGGAATTGAAGTAAAGTGCATTCTTCACCTTGGAGACAGATTCTCGACCAATCCTCTTGTTACAATTTTTAAAATTGTAATTTCTTAAAATTCCCTTTGGAGGAAAAAAAAAATCTCGTAAAGGTTAACATAAAATTCTACCACGGACAAGCGTAAGAAATAGCTCGTGGAACTAAGAAGTACAGCTCGAGAGGACGTATTTCTTAGAAGGAAAAAAAAACCCTAATGCACAATATTTACCAATACTTAAATAATCCAGTTGAAACCTTTTTTTTGTCATGAATGAAAAAATACAACACAGATGGTTACCTCTACTGGGAAGAGCAGAAACGGCAGGGGAGAGGACTGGGAAATAATCCGTTCTACCAGAGCCTTGCGAGAGTCCTATATACAGCACCAGAGCCTATGAAGTCAGCTCCCTTGAGTCAGTAAAGTTAGTGAGAAATGAACACTTCAGAATTGCAGTATAAAATATGGCCGTAAAAAAACTTCTGTCTTCCAGTCCTGTGCAGGGAGGCGCCCGGTGCAAGGTGGGATCGCTCTGGAGTGGCTGGTGGCGCTGGTGGTCCTCAGGGGGGCCCCCTTCCCTGGCCCGCCCCCTGGGCCCCACCTCCAGGGCCAGTCACTTGCTTCCAGAGTGCACCGTCGTCACAGTGGTGGGCCTCGGTCTCCGATCCGCTCCCACTCCTGAGACCCCCGACGAAGAGGAAATGAAACTACAGAGCGTGGAGGGTGCCAGGCCTGCAGGGGGACAGGGGACACAAAGGGGTTCAAAGCTTCAGTTCTCCTTCCCGCTGCAAGGGTTGGTGGCAGGGGGCAAACTTTTGTGTGCTTGACTACATTTTTACCTGCTTGTGGGAGAACATCTGCAGTGTATCCAAATTCTTCTTAGACCCAAGTCTCCCCTCCTTGTTTCGTTGTAATAATTACGACTGCTTTGTATTTGGATACGAGATACAGCGTGGCTTAACCACCATACCACAGGTTCCATTTACTGAGCACTTACTATGTGCTCGGCATCAGGTTAGGTATGGAACATACACCATCTTTCTAAGAAGTGTCTATTTCTTACAGCAGCTCCGTGAAGCAGGGACTTTAAGAGTAAATAAAGAATGTGATACCCTTTTGTGACCCCAGCTTGGCCTGTGGTCTGGACTCTTGGCTGAGAAGCGTTTGTGACTCAGAGGACACTGACACGGGGCTGCTGACCAAGGCCCGTGGGAACTCAGCAGCTCCCTGGCCTAGATCATCCCTCGTGGGCCGTCCCTCCACTGCTGCCCCCGAGCAGATGCGCTGGCCTGATGGGAACGACCCTGTGTCTCCCGGCGCCGGAGGTGCACCCCCGCCCTGCCCCCGTGAGCTTTATGGGCTGGAGCACAGGGATGTGCATAAACACATAACTCAGATGGCTTCGCTGTGGTCAGGGCTGCTGTCCGAAACTTCAAAGCAATGCGCGATAGTGGGGTTCCTTTTGACGAGAAGGTGGGAAGGATGTGCCCGGAGATGTAAACGTGGGTTTAAGCAGCGTGCGACTGTCAGGGGACGCTTGTGGAGACTTCCTGGGAGAATTTAAAGGCTGGACATTCCGGAATGGGATGGGAGCACTATTTTGAGAGGAAAGGAACCGACCCCTTTTGAGGCGCCTGGGAAGGAGTGTGATGCCCGGAGTGAGACCAAGCTGAAGGGTCTCAAGGGCTGAGATGAGGGCCTTTGGGGACGATGATGGCAGCCGCTCTGCAGTGCCAAGGGGCCCGCGGAAAAGCCTAGCGCGAGGTTAGGACAAGAACGCAGAGGGGCGTGGGAGGGAAAAATCAGGAGCGTGTCAGTGATGTGACGCTCGTGCAAAGGTGACGGACAGCAGAATATTAGTACCATTACTTTGATCGCAAAGCCAACGTACTTCATGTGAATTAGCTTAAAAGATCATCATTTAAAAAAGATATCTTAAAAGACAATGAGATGGGGCTGTCACGAGTCTTCGTCATCCCTTCCTCAACCCCTAAAGGGGATGCGAAATGAAAAGCCAATCAGAACACGGGGAGTGGGTCAGAAAGCATCTGGGCTATTGTCCGGACACCCATGGCTGAGCGGGGCTTGAGCCACAGGTTTCTCACCTAAAAATGGCCATGATAATCCCAAGAGTTGTATAAATATGAAGTAATGAAATATAAAAAAATATTTACAAAAGTAGTGTCCTAGGATCTTGGGGGGGCGGTATTAAATGGGATCAAGTATTGAGAGAGCCCGACAAACGGCAGGTACTCGTCAGTCGAGTTCCCGCCTCTCCCCGCCCCCGGACGGGTCTCGGAGGCCAGGTGGGAATTTCTGGTTTTGCTACATACGCACAGTCTTTTTGGCTGGCCAAACTGAGGCTGCTCGAAACACCTGCGTTGGAACTGTCCAGGCTGCTGCCGAGATGGAGTTTTCTCATATGTCTCACGACGGCCGTGGCATTAAACGCTTGCTGAAATTTCAGAAAGGGGAAGAAGCAGACTCACTATTCCAGTCAACGAGGAAAGACTCAGACCGTCTCCTATCGTTTCTGCTGTGACCCCAAGTTCAAACTTCTTAAAACGTTCTCATGACACTCCAGAAACTTGCCCCTTCTTCCAAAAGCACACTAGTCATTTGGCCTCCCCTCCCCACCATCAAAATATATTTTGGAGATTAAAAAAAATAGTTTTCTTCTGACATAATAATGTAGATTAGGGCATAAATGTAACCCAATTCCGTCCATAATTGAAGAGAAGGGACTTCTAGAATTAAAGGCATATTATAATAACACCAAAACTTAAAGTATGATATTTTAAGAGTGTTCATTTTCTACTTTTTGGTGCTTTTATCCTAATAGCATTTCCTTGGAATAAAGTGGGTCAGTGGAATTACTGTTGTATCTGCACGGTCTCTCTCTGTCAGCTCTCGTGGAAAAACAGCCAGCTCTTAATTACCCACACTGAAGAGACCATGGCGTTTAGGTAATGGTTCAAATCCACCACGTTTTTTACCAGAAAGCATGGATGAGTTCAATTCAGATTTCCTTTCTTTACCCCCTTTATATCACTTCGATAAAAGTCGACTCTCCAAAGTCCCAGCAAAGTGAAGGAAGACAACAGGGATTATGTTCTTAAGAAATAGCAAGTGAAGAAGAGATGGTGGCATTGCTATTTTTGGATCACAGAGGGGAGGTGTTAAATCATATACTTCAGCCCTCTCACACCACGATGCTCTCCTCAAGTCTTAATCCTTTTTGGTTAAAATGAGCACAGTTATTTGGGTGAGGTTCTGGGGATTTTCATCAAATTCAGCTGACAGTGACTTTTAGAAACAAACGCTCCCACTGTAGGGCAAGTCTCGTGCTCACGGTTAATGTCACCCGGACTGCAGTAAGCACAGGACTTACTCTCCACTTGCTTTTGGCGAAGTTCTTCCGGATCTGGGCGCTGACGGACTCGTGGATGTTTTTGCTGAGAGCTGTGTCACCGGCGATCCTGAAACACAGGCAAAGATGCTTCCTCAAGAGGGTTTCTTGCGGATGGAGGGCTGGGAAGGGGCGTCTGACACTAGGTCCCAAGCTGCTTTCTGGGGGGAGCCACATCCTGTCCCACCCCAGGGTTCGCTGAGAGGGTGGCTTGTCACTGCCCCTCCAGACTGCTTATTTCGCCCCACGGTGAAATGCACATGATCCACCACCACCATGCTCCAATCCTGTCCACTTCCTGCCCCGCACCCCCTCCAGGATGGCCGGCACCTCCGTGGTGGACCGCTTGGCCTGGCTCCCCTTTCTTCCCTTTTGGACCCCAATTCCTGCAACATCAGAGTCCACAATGAGCACACAGTCTGAACTCAGTTTCCTCTCCCTACCTCTCCCCAGCTTCCTATCTGCCTTGCCTCACCTCTGAGGTCTCAAGCCTGTCCCTACCTGATCTGACCACCGGATCCCTTCCCAGGGCCTTCCTCCCAGCTCCCTCCCCACACCCCTCTCTCTGGCATCTCCAGGACCTCTGATCCATGGACCTGCTCACATCCCCAGGCCCACAGCTCCCTTCTGGCTCCATTCTGTGTACACTAAGCTCCACCGTGTTCCTCTCACCCTCCCCCCAGCACCCTCCACCTGCTCTGTGCTCAGTGAGAGGGCTCCCGGCCTCAGCTCAGCCCTGTTTGGCACACCTGCTCCTGCATTTCCTCGCAAGCTTCTCAGAACTGCAAGGACCACGGCCACACTACATTCCACTGGGTCCCTGATCTCACCAGATAATCTTTCATGTAGTTCTTGCTTGACCTCAGCCTTCCATCAGCAGGGAGGAAGGCAGGGTACCTTTTACCTCCTGTCCTTAGCACTCCCTCACCTTATTACGTCCTCCCTCTGCTTTGTCATGTGCCTTCTCCTCTCTGCCCGGCCCCCCCACCCCGTCTCCCTCCCTCCCCCATCTGTTCCTGTGTCCCATCTTCTCTCTCTCTGCTTTCAGTCTCCAGTCTTGTGGATGCCC